TTCAATCAAGTAAAAAAAACCAATCAAAATCGGATGAAAAGATGTTTATGTTTATGTTTATTACGCTGCCAAAAAGGCAAACGTGAGAAAGCAAAATAAAAGCCACTTAAATAGAGAGAAACTAACAGAAGTTCCAAGGCGAGATGAACGATACATCAGTATCCAAGGAACAACTTCGCTAGGTATCCGAATAAAATTAAGAAGTGATAAGAAACTCAACAAGGCAGCTAATTAGAAATCTGACAACAAGGCGATAAGAAGTGTTCAATCAAAATTTGAAATAGGAGACATGATAAGCAAAAGTCAATCTCAGTTAACTAGGATGTTTCGTGACTAAGTAGCTGGGCAGCTGCAAGCTTCTTGAACTGTCGAAGAGAATTGGGAATGGCCATATTCTTTGTAACTTTTTTGTATGTACTTGCTGCTCTAAATGTGAAGCTTGTGGCTCTGACCCTGGTTTTCGGGCAAGCTAAGAGAATTTTAGCTCGCCCCCTCTGGTTCGTGAGTCCTGTATTTTAAACAAATTATTTGGATTAGACTGTTAGACTCATGCACAAGCTTGTAGACCATGCAAACATCCGCAACCTTACGACGTGTTTCAAGGGAGGAGAGTTCAAAGTACTTGTTTCTAACGGAAGCTTTGGGAATCCTAGAATACAAGAAGCTCCTAGTTCTTAAGAGAATTTTGCGGGTAAAATTGTTTTGCACTTTTTCTAAGGCACAAATATCCCGTTTACTGGCGGGGAAGAACACCGTGGCCCCACTCTCAACCAAAGGACGAACGTACGTCTTATATGCTTTCAAGAGGACTGACTTGTTTGTGGAAGACAAACCCTTGAAAACATGAACAGTCCTCAAAAAGCAGAGTTACATCGATTTTTGATATGTTCAGAAAAATTCAGGGTATTGGAATATCGGAAGCCAAGATCTCTGACAGAGTTGACGGGAGAAACGACTTCACCGTATATGGTGTACTGGGAAAAAAAGAGCTTTCGAACTAGACGAAGGTCAATAGCTCAATAGCTCTCTGAAGTTCTTCACAGTCGGACTGCCCACATATCCTCTTATAGATTTTAACATCATCTGCGTACATCTTCACCGAGACACCAAGTCCCCGAAACAGACTAGGAATCTCCGCAGTGAAAATGTTAAACAGCACTGGTGACAGAACACCGCCTTGGGGCACGCCACTATAAGCTTCTTTGCTAACGGAGTAGCACCCCCAACTCTAACTTGGAAAGTCCTGTCCCTGAGAAAATCGGTGATCCAATTAATAAGAATAGGATGAAACTTCAATTCTTTAAGTTTATGGATTAGCCTTACATGCGACACCCGGTCAAAAGCCTTGGCGAAGTCGAAATAGATAACATCACAACAACGGTCGTTATCGACGGCATCTGTCCAATCGTGGAGACATTCAATCATATTCGTCTCAACAGAGCGTCCTGGGGTGAAGCCATGTTGATTCGCCGGTATTAAGTCGCATTCAAGAGTATATTTGATGACATGCTCCTTGAGGCGTCTTTCAAAGAGCCTACAAAGAGGTGATGCTAACAGGTCGGTAATTACCGGGATCAGATGATGGCTCCTTTTTTAAAATAGGTGTTATGAACGAATGCTTCCACCTCCTAGGAACCTCGCCCCTCATAAGTGACTGATTAAAAATGTATGCGAGAGGTCCACAAATGAAACAAGCTACTTTTTTGATGAAAGATAGCGGAATAAAATCAGGAGTAACAGAAGAAGAGTTGGGCCACTTAAGAATTTGCTCATAGAGCTCCTCTGCAAGAAACCACGGAACGTCACCCATTGAGCAAGACGACTCCACACCAGAATTGGGTAAACTCGAAACCGTGTCATCGTCCTTTGTAAAGGTTTTCGCGAACTGTTCTGCTAACATGTTAGCCTTGTCGTGTTCAGTGTACGCGAATGAGCTACCAGCCCTCAGACAGCCGAAGCACCTCCTATCCCGAATTTTGGTGTTCAAATATTTGTAGAAGTCGTTGCTGTTACTAGACTCAACTA